ATATATATATATATATATTGTTATATATATATTGTTATATGGATACATATAACATATATTTATCTTCTGCATATGGAATTCTGCTTTTTTTCTGTATCAACTCAATTTCTGCAACTAAGCCATACTCTCTCTATATATGTATGTATGTATGTATGTATGTATAAAACATTAGATATTGGATAGATAGATATAATAGAACCTAGTAGTAGCCATTCTGCATGCCACTAAATTAACACAGGATTCAAGAATGCTTTATTGGACTGGTATACACTCTTCTTCAACAGGGGTGCCTTACAGATGCAAGACTTCAAGCCCCATAATTCTCTGCAATGGCCATATTGGCTCAGGAATCTTCTGAGCTGAAATCCATTCATCTATGTAAATTGAGAAGTCTGATTTTCCTTATAGATGGTAACAAAGCACTAACATTCATTAGCAGCAAAACTTTCCATAAAATATTTTGCTCTGTCCAATAGGATGTAAGCATAAATCTTGACCTCATAGACTGAATTATTGCTGACTTGAACAAAAATACATACCTCCTCTGTTAATAAGGAAACATGTGGGCGTTTCAAAGTTAGTATATAGTAATAACGCAAGACAGGTAATATGGTTCAAAGAAGAGACTAGTATAAATCACCATCTTTGAGTTTGATCCAGCTTGTCTTCAATGCTGCAACAAAGCACCCCTTTTGACTTACGAGTTGGATTTTTGTTTCTGGCCTATTAATCTTAACACTCTCTTCTCTCCCAGAAATGTAAGTAGGCAATTTCTTTGGAAGCCTTAAACATCTGTTACATCCCACGTATTTGAAGAGCAGGAAAATAATGAATAGAAATAGCAAGAACAAACCAAGGCAATTTTTGGCATGTTAAAAATTAGAAGAAGTGGCAGTTTTGAATATTTGAATCCTTAGATTGGCAATAATCTCCCAAAGAGTATGTGAAGGAAGGAGAAAACGGGAAATTGCTAGTAAATTAGTAATAATAATAATAATAATAATAATAATAATAATAATAATAATAAAGTTGGAAGGGACCTTGGAGGTCATCGAGTCCAACCCCCTGCTCAGGCAGGAACCCTACACCATTTCAGACAAATGGCTGTCCAGTCTCTTCTTAAAAACTTCCAGTGTTGGAGCATTCACCACTTCTGGAGGCAGGTTGTTCCACTGGTTAAT